TAAAATATTACTGTTCGCATACAAGGCCCTAAACGGTTTAGCCCCACCGTACCTGGCAGATCTTTTAAAACCATACACACCCGCACGGTCACTGAGGTCTGCTGACAGACTCCTTCTGGTCGTCCCTAAATCAAAGTTAAAGCAGCGAGGAGACAGAGCCTTTGCTGTTGCAGCTCCAAAGTTATGGAACGAATTACCCCTCCAGGTTAGACTTGCTCCAACTCTGCCTGTTTTTAAAAACTCGTTTAAAAACCCACTCCTTTTCCCTGGCCTTTACAGGCCAGGTATGACACTTGTGCTTTTACATTTGGGCTTTTAACTTACTAGTGTTTTGTATTGTTTTTACATCATGTAGGAGAGTTTTTCTGTCGGTGGCTTCTGATCTGGTTTCATTGTCTCGTGTTTTACATTTGTTTCATGTCTTGTCTGTTTTTATGTATTTATGCTATGTTTTTATACAGTTGTTGATGTATCTTCAACTCTGTTTAAATGTGCTATAGAATTGGATATAGGATTGGATTTGACTTCTTGGCATTGCATTTGATTAATGATTTATTCCCAAAGTAATGTAATCTGGTTAAATTACTTTCATATTGTGATACCAAGATTAGGGAACCACTTTACAATAAGACTACCCTTATAAAGGGTTTACCAATAGTTTGTAATTCATCTATTAATTAGGTTGTGAACACTTTATAAATAATTAATAAGCTTTTATAAGACATGAGATAAACAGGGCAACTGTGACCGGTTGCTTGCCAAATAGTGAGCCCACTTTTATCCGTACTGCTAAGCCTTATATTGGCTACCTAGCTTACTTCATCTTCTTCATCAGCTAGCATCCTTGATATCTGTTGCTCAATGAGTTGATTCTCGTTGAGTAGCCACTATAAGGCTTAGTCATCTTGCCAAATAGTGCGCCTGTGTTAGTACGAAAACTATGTTAGAACTGGTTTCTAAATGGTTCTTAATGATTAATAAAGTGTTACAACCTAATTCTAATAAAAAATTACTAACAGAGCACTTATATACTAATAAAGGACTGGCTTATCTAAAGCCAGTTGAGTAGCACTTGAAATGTTTTAACTCTATGAAAGTTGATGTACTTATATAATTCTGTTTTCTTCAAGTTTGTATCTTCCTGGTCAAATGCACTAACTGTAAGTCGCTTTGGATAAAAGCATCAGCTAAATGTAATGTAATTCTAACCTAATTATAAACCCTTTATGAATCCTTTATAAGGGTAGTTGTAAAGTGGTACCCAGATTAGTTTACGGGTTATTGTAACGTACATCCCAGATAGCCCTCCCAAACCTTCATGAATGTCTAAAACGTTAAAACTGAAACAGGAGGAAAAACACACTGAGGTTTGAAAGTCAATACACACTCTGGGTCATTAGTGTGATATAAAAGCTGTTCAATAAAGCTCCTGCTGTTGGAAATTGATCTTACCCAGCAGCCTTTTGGTTTTAAAGCGAGAAAATTATAAGTAAGATAGCAGACTAATGTTTCAATTAGGAGAAAGAAGAGACCGATATGTTTGTAGTAATGTACAACAGATGTGTTTTACTGCAGTCAAGCCTTTACTGGTAGTGCACCGGAAAATGCCACTCTTTACCACATCATTTAATATGCACTTAAAAGGTTTACTCCTAACCCTGCTTATATGTCATTCCAAGTCCACTGATGTTAGGATCCTTAATGCTTTGTAAAAGCTACATTTAGAAGTTTTCTATTGTCAATTGTGGAAGATTTAATTGGACACCAACCCCAATAAAATGATTAACTTCCGCTAGAAACAAACATATTCAAAACCACCGGACGATCATTGATATGTCATTTCTCTCTCTCCCACAAATGTTTCAGGGAAAGGGATGACTAATCAAGATTCAAAACAAAAACTTGCTGATTATGGCTAGGAAACAGCCAGCCTGGATCAGTTTAACACAATTCACCTCCCGCACCCTTAAAGCTCACTTGGTAACACGTGATATTATTTTAATTTGGTTTAGTCTACGTAGGTGGAATACATTTGGAAAAAGGGGCAACACGAAACAGAAACACACAACACTACAAGTAAAAGTTTTACAGATGTTTTACTCAAGTCTTTGCAGTTAAATGTCATCTCATATGCATGAAAAAATCAGTAATAGAGTAGTAAAAACAGGAGGAGAGTTCAATGTCTTCAAATAAGAGAGAATAAAATGGAAAATGAAATAAGGTGAAGATATAATAAGAAAAAAAGGGAGAGCGAAACAGTGGGAAGTACGTTTTCAGAGATCCTGAACAATGTTTTAAAATACGTGAAATGTAACTTATGTTGGATTAAAAAATGGATCTGCAATACACAAAATATTGCCAAAAGTACACTTTTTTTTTTCTAGCAGCAGATTAAATAACATGTTGTTGTGTCAACATACCATTGTGTTACTAGTAACCCCAGCTGTCAGATATGAAGGAAAAAGTACAATGTTCCCCTCTGAAATGAAGTGGTGGGAAATATATTAGTAATACATCCCAACATAAAATACTAACATAAACAACCAGTACCTCCTCACTATCAAATGTGCTTCTCGTCTCTACAGATGTGTGTAAATGTCCAAGCACGCACCACATTTCAGAATGATAATCTTTGAAGCTGGAAGTGTTGTGTGGGACGTGACGGCAGCTCAGCTCTTCACTTGGAAACCAGCTCCTGTCTGTTCCTGCAGGTCTGTCCGTAGTCTCTCTCCTTCATGTGGGCCGTGTCGTGAAGCAGCTTTGCCCGGACCAAGTCGTCCACCCTTATCTCCAGGGTCATCTCCTTGAACACCTTAGACACCGACACCTGCGGCAGACAGGAAGACGATGGGTGGATTCACTTACTAAATTATTCTGGAGCAATCACACACAATGACTTTAAGGTTTCATTACCTCCTGGAAGTGGAGTTTCTTGAACATGGCGATGCTGACTTGGTTGTCCAGACCAATTTTCACTTCAAACTGTTTGACACCGAGTTTAGTGACTCCTGGTGGAAGACAAGATGACAACTGTTAATCACAATCTGTAAGCAGTTTACTCCAAGATGCTGGATTAAGTCTCAAGGGAGTCAGGAAGGAATTATAGACAGAAAGCTATAGCGGAAATATTTTCTTTCCAGCTCAAACTATGTCAAAGCCACTGTGTGTTGGAATTTTAATAGAATATTTCTAGGGAAAAAGAAAATATCTGACGATTCATTTGAAGGTTAATGTGAAGCTTTCATAAACCTCATACAAGATGATGTTTTGTCCTAATCAGTTTGTTGCAAGTGATTTAACTGTATCTCATTTTCAGTGAAGACAGGAGCTGTGATGATGGTCGTAGCAGATTACACTACCTGAGAATCAAAGAAACATGACAATCTAACACTTTGAAAGGCATATTTTATTCTCAAAAATCACCCCAAAACTCCACAAGGTTATGAAAATGCAAGAAGTTCGATACATACAAAGCATGTTGGGCACATATTTCTTCCACAATGTATTGGTAACAATCGTGGGAATTGGAAATATATTGTACATCAATTCTCTTTTTTTCCAATATTTGTAAATGATTGAGAGTTAGTTACCGTTACCATGGGGGAAAGGGTGCACCGAAGTTGCACCCTATAAGGAATCCTCTAATTGTACACAGTGGCTTTAACCTGTTACTGTCTCTGAGCTTTAAGTAACAGCACATGTTTATTTATTTTCCCTCCCTGAAAGACTGTATAAGATGCTCACCGTAGCTCATCATCATGCGCGTCACCTCTTTCCCGATGCCCTTGCCTCTGTGACTTGGCTCTGTTGTAACCAAAGAACTTCATAAGTACCATAGAATTCAGAATACAACGACTTTAGTGTTGACATAAATGAGGGAAATGGTTAGAATGAAAAAAAAACATGATTGTAGGTGTTTGGAAAGCCTTTGCTTTTAGATAAGACGCCACGCTTCACCTGCTACCATGACCTCCAGCTCAGCCAGGGACGGGTCTGTGGGGTCCGTCAGAAAGATGTTCACATCTCCCACCATGCACTGCTCCTCCCCTGCGTTGCCGTCTGCCCACCGCTGCTTGTCCAAGATGATGAACGTGCACTCTGAAAAGATTTAAGTGAAAACATTTCAATTCAAGCCGGTTTTCTTTTAACCAAAATGTGGAAATAGTACATGTGCATCAATTCAAGATCTAATTTTAAGATATTTGATTTAAGTTAACTCATAAATATGGCGCTTTGCAGCATTTTTAACGGATGAAAGTGTTTTCTGAGTGCACCCTGCAGGAAGACGAGCCCTTACTGTCATCATCTTCCCTCCAGCTCTGCTGCATCTCGTACTCCTGCTCCAGGTTGAGCGGCTCTGATGCGGTCAGCTGCTGCAGCTCAGGAGACTTCATCCACTCATGGTACCTGAAACAGACAGACATAACATGCAGAATAAGGCTTTACTTGAATTACTTGATATTCTGCTGAGTCTCTTTGTCCATCAGTAAATATTATAATTGATTAATTTACATTTTATAATTATGGTCTAAAACGTAACATGTCATATAAAGAGTAACAGTATTTCCAAAGTCTAGTATAATAGAAGTAGAAATATAAAATCGCATAGGGGAATACTTAAGTAAATTACTTTCACATACACTAAATAATTTCATTTCAGACTCTTAAAAGGAAATGTACCATCTGCAATTGATTTAACACAAAAGAAAAAACGGCCAAATGTAAAGGTAATAATAGAAACACTAAGGAGACATGAGCTGAGAAAAATGCAAACACAAAAGCGCAGAAATGAGAATAAAAGATACAGACTGAATGTAATAATAAAGATAACAGAGACAGCATCTGTTAGTAATACCTGGGCACGTGCTCTGCGTTGTAAGGAACCAACACGACTTGTTTTCCCTCCAGTAACGTGTTTTCATTTATCTTCATGTTGTTATAACAGGATATGAACCACCGATATGACTGATAAAATAACGTTTAGCTCAGCATCAGCGCATCAGGCCCATGATTTCAGCGACTCATTTACTTCCGGTTCAAACCCAAAACTGCGGCTGCGCACACTCATTCATTGGAGGAGGTCGCCACCTGCTGGACGACATCCGGAAGTACCGAGTTCAGCTTTCATTCATAAAGCTCAGGCTGTCCAACTACGGCATGAACTACGGCCTGGGGGACAACTGCGGCCGATTGTCCATTTTTAATTGGCCCTAAGCAAATTCATGCTTATATTGTAATTCTGAAATATATATCTAAACATATATTACACAGTAGTATTCATCTGTTAATAAGGCCACTTTTCAAATACATTCAGTTAATTCAAGTTGAAACAATGTTCTAACAAATCTAAGTTGATACAAAAAAAAGAAGACGTATTTGCATAACAAACTTAAAATAGACCCTTCATATTTCCCCTTATTAGAAACAATTTGAGGCTCCTGTTTTAAGGAATTTGCTGCCAACACTTTATGTAACAAAAGAAAAGAAAACCTTTTAAAATATGTGATGTAGGCTGTTAGTTTTCTCAAAGCTTATTCAAGTATCAAGCATAATTTACCTGAATTTGATTGATTTTGCTAACTTTATATCTTTAGAAAAATATCTGGTTCAGATGTTTTAAAGAATTAAACTTATTTTGTCTGCACAGTAATAATACAAATAACTTTTATTAAGTTATCGTTCAGTTTATAAAATATCAACCCAAAGGATGACAGAAAAGACAAGATAGTCGCTCTGGTCGCTTTATTCCACCTACATGCCTTGTAAAGTTGCAAGGTTCTTAATCAGCAGTTGCAAAAATATTGAAATCGAGAGAACGTGTTCCTTTATTAAACTTAGGCAGGCAAAGAATTTTATTTTGACAATCCTAAATATACGCATGATGTGTGTGTGATATGTGTACTAAGTGGCCCTTCTCAGTTTGTGCCACAGTTGGACCGGCTCCTGCGGTGTGTTGACCATGTCCATCCAGTGCTGCAGCTGCGGGCCCTTAGCGTACATGAAGGGACCCAACACCAGCACTCCCAGCAGGGCAGGAGGCTCTGTGGGAGCAAGGAAGACGGAGCAGAGCCAGGGTGAATACACACTGACCTGATACTGAAGCTAATGCAGCAGATAGCATGCACATTATGTTAACCCTTTCACCTGAGAGGACGGGGTTCGGCTGCTGCAGCTCAAATCTCAGGCAGGCCTCGTCCAGGTGCTGCGAGCGCAGTTTAAACGTCGTCCTGTGGTCGAAACAGGGGTCGTTTTTGCTATTCGCCACACAGCTGCGCTTCATCTTCACCACCTGAGTGTGTATCTGTAAACTCACCTGGACACACACACCTGGGAAGCACACAGGCGATGTGACTCCATTGACAGACTTCAGACTACTAATATTCCCCAAATAATGACTGAGTATCTCAAAAGACTGACATAATATCAGAAGAAAAATGAGGAGTGTTTTTTATATGTTAACTTACTATCAACATAATATCTAAAAATGAATAGATTTCTTTATTTTAAGTGAAGTATTGACTTATTATCACTCAATAATAGTAGTCATTATTCTGAGCAACTAAGTCATTATTTCGAGAACATTTGTCATTATAATGGGGGGGGGTCTTCTTTTTTCCTCTTGTATGACTGTGAGCTTCCATAGAGTTTGGTTTGCAGAGTCAGAACCATGATTTTCCCTTACATGAAACCCCTCGTACCTGCGTCTGTGAGCAGCTGCAGGCCTCGAGCCCTGGGAACCACCACAGAGAGGCGCTGCAGAGACGGACTGTAGCTGAGGGATATCTGCACATCACCCAGCTCTGAACACTGACAGAGAAGACAAAGATTATAAGCTTCCAGGAACAATTCTGTGCACATGTAAGCAATTTATTCATGTGTTTACCTGGCAGTGGTGGAAGATATGTTCATTAAAAGTACTCAAACCACAGCGTGAAAAACTCCAGCATTTTCCATCAAAGTTTATTAAAGCTTAAAGGTCCACTATTATACTATTTTTCAATAATATATTATAGGTCTCAGAAATATAAGAATCATGAATGTGAAAAGTTTGGCTCGAAATACCAGACAGATCATTGTAGCATCCCATAATCCCCCTCAGTTTGTTATTGGCTAATGCTTGCACAACCAAAAAAACATTGTGACATCACAACATGGCCAAAATCTGATCAGCTCATTTTCAGACAGGTTTTTATATAGATGGATAAGGACAAAAAGAGAGGGGGTCTTTTTTCCTGAAATGTTCCTAATCTCTTAACAGAGAGAGGACACATATTAATGTATAAAAGACATGAAGAAGTGGATTTTGAAAAATAGGGGAATTCTAAGAAGAGTTTTCTCAACTTTTAAAGGAACACCTTTTCCTTCAGTTCATCCAAAAGATTCAAATTCAACACATCAACATATAAATGGTTTTCAGTGGACTGATATGAAAAATTGTAATCTCAAAAGTAACTAAAGCTGTCAGTCAAATGTAATTGGCAAGAAGTATAAAGTTACATACAATGGAAATACTCATAGACAAGCATATTAAACTTGTTCTCAAGTACAGCACTTGAGTAAACGTTACAGCCTGGTACCTGTGTGTCGTCCTCTGTCTCCAGGTCCCTCCAGAGCACCCTGCCGGCCCCAGCGAGCTCCCCCTCTAGAGGAAACAGCACCCTGCCCACTGCATGGCGTTTTCCCTCCTGCCCCACACTGAGCACACACACACTCAGAGTGCTCTGAGGCATACACACACCTGAAACCTGTGCAGGGAAACATAAGAGCATACAATGAAATGGTGGTTTTGTGTGTTTACATTTGGCCTTCTGTATGTTCTCCTGGGTTTTATTTATAAAAGCCAGAGCTGGCCCGACCCATTAAGCGACATAAGCGGCCGCTTAGGGCCCCGCAGCCACTAAGGGGCCCCCTAGCAAAAAACAAAAAAAAATCTCAGTACACCGTCGCCGTGATAAGTATGTTTAATTAATGTTGTTAATATGCCTAGATTGCCTACTCTCAAAGTCATGTATTATGAGTCAATAATGTAATACATTAACTGTGCTTTACCTGAACCTCATCATGAAACTAGAGAGGATGGCAGGATTGTAATTTCCCTTGTTCAGTGAATGCAACCGAGGCAAGACACCAGACCAACCAGAGAGTTGAATGGAAATAAACATCTGTCTTATTGGATGACAGTTACCTATCCTGTGAGCTGTGACAATGTTTAAAATAAACTGTCAGTCGGACTCAGAGTTTTTGAAGATGGACAGAAGAACATTTGTTCTTAAAAAAGATGACAATTCTCAAGTGGTGGCTCACACAACAACCCCAGAGCCACCACTTGAGCCATGGTTTGTAAATGTCAGTTAACTTCCAAGTTATGCGAACATGTAAGCAAAGCATAAATTACAGCTACGTTGACGTTACTTTGAATCGCAGGGGTAAGCTAAACCGTTAGCAAGTAGCTATAGCTATAGCTAGCCAGATATATTAAATAAACACTTTGTCATTTAAATGTAATGTTTTTTAGCGTTACCTAGTGATTTCAAAGAAAGCTCTCTGGGAAATGCTGACTTACTGTTCTACGGAGTCCTGTCAGTTAAAGTGTTTCATAGTTAGCTTAGCTAAGCATCAACCTAGCCCTGAAATATATGGATGTTATGTGACAGTATTTCTGAGAAAAAGTCATCTGAAATGGTGGCATAGTTGCCACTGCGTGTCAACAGCATGTTTGAACGTATTTGCAGCAGTAAATGTGGCTGTTTGGCCACTGACGTTGCCATAACAACACCTGAATTTAAATGTGCAACCTCTTTTTGTGACAGATTTTTGCAAGAAATTATAATTCTTCTGAATGATATTCCTATTGACAGCTAGTTTCTATGTGAACATTATGAGATGGACAGCCAGAGAGAATAAATGAAAAAAAGTTATGAAATAATACTATATGACAAAACAAGAATACAGTTTAAGTGATTTGTAAAATATCCATAAAGAAAAATCTGTTCACAGTTCTGTTTCATATGGGTATTGAGAGATGTATCCATAGATCTCTTAATTTTGCTCTCAAAGTGCACCAGATTGATGCTTTTAACTTAAATATTTAAAAAAAAATCTTCCCGGGGGAGCATGCCCCCAGACCCCCCTATAGGTCCACGGTGTTTACATGGTTATTTATACAATATGTGTGCTTACGCTAACATCATAAGACAAAAGTTGGTTCCGTGTTGTGTGTAGTGAGCCAAAGCTCGCTTAGGGCCCCCATAAGTCTAGGGCCGGCCCTGATAAAAGCCATCATGTTTGTTCCACATCTTCACATGTACTTCATATTTATATAGTGGGATTTTTATGTGTGTGAAACAAATGATCAAATATTCGGTGAGCCTTCCACGCCTTCACCTGGAAAACGAAGCAGTCGTTGAACTCGGGGTCGGGCCCCGTGCCTCGGGCCTTGGCCTGGCGGGGCCGCCGGTCGTCAGGGAGAAGCCGGATCTCAACCAGTGTGACGTTGCCGTGGAAACGAGGAAGGAGGTTGGCGAGGCGGAGCAAGGATACCATGAGCTGCTCGGCGCTGTGCCGGTACTCCACGGAGAAGCAGAGGCGGGTGGCCATGCCGGGAGGAGGGGCCACCACCTCGTTCAGAGGGGGGGAAGAGTAGAGACCGGCCAGCACCGTGCCCACCGGGTACCACACTGATGGAGACGCATGTTAGGGAGTGTGTAGGGTCCAAATAACTTATACAAGAGATAGTTTAGTTTCCTTATATATTGTTTTTTTATTAAATTATTTTTTTATAGTCTTTGGTAGTAAAATAATATTTGATTTATTTATATTTAAATGAATTTTCTAGTTCATGTTAAAATATTTTTTTCGTGTAAAAAAAACCTATTATTCTTGCATTTCTTCAAAAATGTTTATGAACTTAACATTACATTTCAAATGTATACTTATGTATAGATGTCACACTTGTACAAAGCTTTGGCAATCCTGTATGTCAGTAAGGTTATAATTATTCTAATAAAGCTATTGAATTGAATTGAAATACCTTTATCCCACCCC